GTATATAGTCTGTGTATACAACCTACAAATACAAACAAATACAACCTACTCTAACGGTAACTTTTCTCGAAAATTGAAGAATTCCTGAAACGCCAGGTACAGCTCAAATATGGCGATACTAAGGTCCTCGCTGGTTACTCCTGCCGAGCCTTCTGTGGCGGTGAACAGTCACCACCTTCTTGAACTCCAGAGCCAATAATCTTTTTAGCCTGAGAAAAGGTTGAAAGGGCAAAAAAATGAAATTATATAAAAAGTAAGTAATTAATAAAGCATTATACTTTTCCGTATTAGTTTTACAAAATTTATTAGGTTCGTTCCCATTACGTATAAAACACGATTGTTAGCATAAGACATTAGTCACTGTACAGTGTGCATACAGTGTTGTCTATAAAAGAAAAGTCCCTTTTCCGAGTGTTCATCTGACAGAGAGATCGTGTAAACTCTTCTGTAATAGAAGTTTGAAAAAGCTTTTTAATTTTTAGACTTAATAGTTCAGTCTCTACACGTAAGATTTATTTGGTGACGTCATATGCACCAAGCTTACACCTACCGACCACCAGGGTGTATTTATTTTTGTAACCACTTCTTGATCTATTCAAGCTGAATTTAAAAAAACAAGGCCTAACATTAAAATCTCTAACAGTTTATATATTTTATGTTAGCGAAAAACGTACACTAATCTCGGTTTGTACCTTTCTTATGACGTCATCGGTTCCCTGTATTACAGGAAAATAAAATGAAATTAAAGGAAAATACGTTAAAAAATTATTTAACAAGTAACATACACTAACCTCGGTTTGTACCTTTTTAGTGACGTCATCAGCCACCTGTATAACAGGAAGAGAAAAGTTGTTTAAGAAAATACAGAAACGATTGCTTTTTTCCCCCTCTCTGATATAATATTTAAATGACTGAAAACATAAACTCACATCTGTGATCCGAAGGCACAATTTTTTTAATGTTAAAATTTCATACGGTGCACTGATTGGCTGTTCACGTATTATTTTAAAAACTTTGGTTAAAATAGATCTATCTACGTTTTTATCTACAACTTACCAGTTTCTCTAACTGCTTGTAGATGACGGAACAATAATTTACACCTACTTCCCTGCAACAGGAAACAAGAAATCAACAGTTTTACAAAATGTCGGTAGGAGTACCGAACAAGAAAAGTAGTTTTATCGTTAATACTAACACATATAACTATCAAAATGACAATATTGTCCTGGTTGTTATTAAATACTCAAACATTCATAACGATGCTCTTTATGGTCGATAATACACAGTGCAACAATTATAAAATGATACATATATGGTT